CCACGCAGTTCCATCAATTGTGTTATGATTGGGGTTTCAGCATACTACAGTGTGACATTAACTTGATGACATCGAATCGGTTTGAATTCTCAATTCGACAGACGAAATTGGACTAAAGTACAAAATTAATATTCGATGTGAAGCATTTTTCAATAGGACTAATCCGAAATGTACACCAGACTCTTGTACAGTTTCTTTTATCGGCATTGTTTTTTTTTACAGTTTTTGAATTAATAAGACGACTGCGCACGCGCGGTCTTTACGTACTTCGCGTGGTGAGGATGTTCCCAAAGCAGAATTGGAACTGCAATGCTTGACGGGATTTATCGTAGAGAACTAAAATGACATCTTTGACGATAGACGGCGCAATACAACGAGCAAGTGCTGAAACTTTCAGATTTGTTGTTTTGCCAAGTCAATTGAAAAGCGTTTCAAAGAGGACGTGGAAGTTGTTAGCGGCAAACAAACATGCGATCTACAATGGACTCCAAAGATGGAGTTAAATTAGAACGATACCGGGTATTGTCTTTGTTGTACGTCTGAACACGCCCCGAGTCAGGACTACTTCTCATAATAGAACATTTATAATCCTACATGTACCCGTAGTTATTCTCCATAACTATAGTAAATACAAAGAATGAGCCGATTTGTAGAAAAACGGTGTCTTGAAATCTGCACCACCATGTTCCTGCAAAGATTATTCGCAACATGGCGTCAATTTTAAATTACGTGGCGTGTGGGCCATCAGCCTGTAATGGAAATCGAACGTTTACAGAAAGCCAGATAGAATACACCGTTTTTCTCGAAAAATAATACCCTACAAGTCAAGGATAATTATCACAATAGAACATTTATAAATCTATATCCTGGGGACGGATCTACGTCACAAGACGTTCCACGTTGCTAAGACGCGAACCACAGTACCATGTATTTCTATGGGCTCTGCGCGAGCTGCTGTGGAACGCCTGTTGAAGAACAGTGGCGGATCCAGAGGGGGGCCAGGGGGGCCATGGCTCACCCAAACGCATGACGATTCATATGATCTGGATTACGCATAGCTTCTCTGCGATTTACGCTCCGTATATCTTAAGCGAAGCTTGGACCCCCGGCCCCCAATACATTTTGCTGGATCCGCCACTGTCGAAGAACCGGTGAAACCAGCTAAAGTCGAAGAAACAACACACACTCAACTTTGAAGTAATTCTGAACAACCACATTTATATACTGTAAAACATGTTGAAAAAGCGGCATGCAATTTTAGCGAATTGTGATAAAATGACGTAATAGCGAAATGTTGATTTCGCGAATCTCTCTCGTCATTGTTGGTTTCCTGTTTTCACGATACTTGTCTGTCACGCGTCAAAAGAATTGCGCAGTTATCACCTCCATAAAAAACGAAGAAAAACTGTCAAGTGTAATTTGATTCTGTTCGCAATGATAAAAAAACTGATTCAACAGGGATTTGAAAAAGCGGGTGTCGTTGCTGGGTTACATCCAAAAATTACTAAGTACTACTAATTTCCGTAATAATATATCAGTATCACTTCATTTATTTATTTTCATTGAAATAATGACCACAATGAATACGTTTATTTTTTGTGTTAATTTACTTTTCAATAAAGTGTATCTATCATGTCAGTACGTTTTCTTTGTGTTTGTTGTTTACAAAATGTGTGTGGAGAAAAAAGACGTTGTTTGGCGGCTATTATGAATATATAAATAAGTCTTTGGCGACATCTTGAATTAGCGAATCAGTTCTTTCGCTAAATTCGCGAAAAAGACATGTTTTACAGTATGTTGCACACGTAGGGCTAATCTTGTTAAATTGTTTAGGGAAGTCTCAACAACCATCTCAAAGTACCGTTTTCTGAGAGATTCCGCCCTTTGTTTTCACCTTGATGGTTGTCTAGCGGTGAAAATACCCGGATGTCCGCCCCAAGAAAATACCTGTAGCTATTTACAGTAACTATAGCAACTCAACATGGTCATTGATGTGAAAATACCATGTATGACAATGTTTGAAAATAATCACCATTTACTGATAGTTCATTAACAGATTGATTAGTGTTAATTTGACATCCGCCATAGAAAATTGTGAATTAGTCATATACATCCGCCAGAGTCGAGGTCAACTGCGGCTGGTCTATAAATCAGGTGAATATGCCGACACACTGTGACGTCATTTGTTGATCATATGAATATCTGATAATAAATGTCGTTCACTGGCCAATGCTAGCTCAAGGTCTGCTGTCATAATGTTTCCACAAAATTGTATTAAACAAAACCATGTATATAAGGAAGGAAGCTCGAATGTTCAGTGAGGGTGATATAAATTTACAAAGACGTCATTGCCGCTATGTATTATGGGATACACGCATCCGAGTAACAACGGTTTTAGAGGGGACGTTTCGTTTGCCTTTCTCTAAATCCGCCACTGATAATAACAACAGAAGCAAGCAACGCCACTATTTTATCTACAGATGCGAATCGGTCTTGCTAACCGGTAACGACGCATGCGCACACGTGCAAACAAACCCGGATGATCAATACATACACAATGATATTTATCATTTATATATAGAGAAAGAGATTTAAACGTTCCAGTGTTATTCAACCCGCCAATAAAATCCTCTCGTTTCAGTTTGGATTGTGAAATTTATAAATATTATGAAGATGAAGGGAATGCTTTTGTTGCGATAAGAGTAATTGCTATCAGATACAAATCACAGCTACTTACTGTTTTGGCATCTGTCCCCCGCAAAACCGTCAATACAGTCACAGGTAAATGCAGCCATGAGGTCGTTACATGTACCATTGTTCTCACATGGACGAGGTGCACATTCGTCAATTTCTGCAACACAGAAAGCGTGACGGTGAAATTACATTGTAGCATCATACACTGACATTTGACATGTAAGTGGAACACGACTCACCTTTATAAACACGTTTTTGTATTACAAATCAACGTTTTTCTCAAGCTAGAACAAGCTATAAGACCCTGAAACCAGGATGTTCGTGTGCTGACGCCATCTTTGATTTGAAATCACTAATCGGACATGGGCTCTTTTATTTAGGCTCTATGTGTTGGCAGACGCCATCTTTGATTTGAAATGATTGATCTGATATATGACACTGTAATAAGACTTTGTCTGTGACAGACGCCATCTTTGATTTGAAATGATTGATCTGATATATGACACTGTAATAAGACTTTGTGTGTGACAGACGTCATCTTTGATTTGAAATGATTGATACTGCATAGGCCAAGATAATTACCGATCTCGTATTACTGGCCTTCTGACACGTTTAAATGACGTCATAGTAATGACCTTCGTATCATATATATTTCAATGACGTCATACTTACCATTTTCACAATATTGGCCTTCGAATCCAAGAGCACAGGTACACGTATACCCCGTAACGTCATCTACACACTCAGCGCCATTCATACAAAGGTTGCCAGGACAGTCATCAATATCTGTTAAAATCACAGAAAAATAATCGTTAACTTTAGTTTCTTGATGTAACATCACATAGTTGCAGATAATTAAAAATGGTTTCTATTACTGTAAACTACTTTAATCTCTCGAAATTTATTAAATAAATAAAAGGTAAAACATTGTCACATTATTTTCAATCTGTTAGTGTGTAAATTTCCTTGCCTTTTCGAAATGAGGAATGAAAAAGTGTAGACAATGTTGGGCTATTTATCACTGATAAATATCTTTTTTTTTATAATAAATACGTTTATAAACTATAGTACGTTTTCTGCCGTTCACCGTATGTAGTGTTCCACTAATGTAAAGCATTTAGATTTCCGATAGAGGGCGTTACTGATGACGGTGATAGTTTCAGCTTCACCTTTAATTGTTACCATTTCATTTGCTAATAATTTTGAATAGTGTAGATTCAGGAAGATTCCGAATTACTGCAGACAACATAAATTCGGAACTGCTCCAAACCCTCCAATACTTCCTGCATTTCGCGCATAATCATACCATAATATATAATATATATTTTCAAAAAAATATAAATGTGGATAAAAAAGGATAACGGAATTCATTGAGGGTAATTTTAAATGTCTACTCTTAAAACAATTGTATACATGTATAGAGTGTATTACATAATTGTGTGAGATATTAATAATAAAATTGAATTGTGTTTTCCTAGAATATAAACATGAAGATATAGTTGACTTACTGAATTCACAGATAGTACCATTGAAACCATCAGCACATACACATGTATGGGGATCACCAAGAACTCCAGACCATTCACACTCACCGTCATTATAACACATCACATCATTACATGGACTGGGGTTTGCTTTTACAGAAATCAGTGTAAGATCAGACAATGTTAATTTCATAGTTACTCAATATTTTATAACTCCACGACATGAAGTAATACACTACACTACACTACACTACACTGCACTGCACTGCACTGCACTGCACTGCACTGCACTGCACTGCACTGCACTACACTACACCACACTACACTAATCAATATTATTAAAAACAAGCACATAAAGTATATAAACCACTTACCAATTTCACAATTATCACCTTCGAATTCTTCTGCGCAAGTACACGTGTATGACGTAATATCCCCAACACAAGTACCGCCATTTTGACACTCGTCTGCGCAAGATGTTGCCGATCCTGGGAAAAAATAAACATTCCAACGTGTTCATATAGACAATCCCGACCGACAATTGCATTGTTTGTAAAAAAAATTATCGTAGAAACAAAGAAAAGCGAATTAAGAACAGATGAAACAAACAAATACCTGAATCTTCATTTCCCCCACTGCCTCCAAGAAATAGCACGGCGGCAGCTGCACCAGCTCCAACTACAATAACTACTGTCACCACAGCAACAATAATGATCACTTTTTTACTTCCACTACCACCCTGCATTACATAATACAAAACGCGTTACAGAGCTACAGAGTCGTCTTTTGATTCCTTGAGTACACAGATATTTGTATTTCAATAATCTAATATTACATAACAGAGCAATGGCTACAATATGGAAGCTGGAAAACAAGTTGTATATTTCATGGTTGTTGTGTTTTTTCGTGGAGTTAAATTTCCACAGCCACTGCGATACGCCATGCTTGACGTGGGACCCATGCAACATATACAACAAGTGGACAATATATTGTTTGATTGCATGGAACATTAAAAAAATCTTGTTAAAAACAAGTAAACCAATACTATCAAAGACAAAACTGTTTTGACGGACACATACTATAGATAAAAAGTTACAATAACATTTACAGACTTAGAAACATATAAACATTAAACACGAGATTACAACTGACAAATCACTGGCAAATACGCCTCACCACTGTAAGCAGAAGCGCTACACGTTATGCAAGTCATACTGTCCGAAAAACTCTTGAAATAGCGTGCAGTGAATACGCTCTTACAATGACTAGTTGGAAATTTGAATCTCTGACGTCACAAACAACTTGTAAAACATAATTCTACACACAAATAAAGCGTGGTATATTCATAGTCAGAACGACCTATAAAGCGAAGAACTGAAGTAATAAACCGATGTAGTTTTCTCAAAGACATAGGAGTTTCTGGACATCTAACCCGCACTTCAAGATTGAGCAAGAAATATATTACGCTTAAAATAAACTTTCATCCCGTAAAATGAAAAAAAAATATTATTCCAAACAAAGTGTTTATTGATTTGACTCGTCATTTGAAAGTATTTTTTCATGTTAAAAATATTAAGTTAGAAGCCTACTCACGAGTACAACAAATACTTAGAATGTTTTAGTTTGAAACAACTCGTACTTTCGGTCAATTTTAGGACTTAAATAAGTCACAGGATAATTTTCGTTAGTATTTGAACGCTTTTATCGTCAATGCTGTAGATACGATGCAACATCTGACATTGAAAACTGATATCATTAGATTAAAAAATTATATATCTCGGTGGACCGGGTAATCTGTACTGTCCTGAATTATTTCAAAAATGTCGGTTATAAAATATGCCAAAGAATTTCATTTTACAATAAGTCCTATAAAATAGTAATTAGTGGTATTACCTGACTGTTTCCAGTTTCTGGATGTACTCGACTGTTACTCATAGTTTCACTGTACAGACTCGTCTAATTTCACGACTTTTCGATCTGAAGTCAATACTCGCACTGAATCGACAGTATATGATACGGTGGAGCTAAACCTGTGTTGACGTTGCTGTGGAAACTAAACTGATCTTTCCTAAGCAGCCTTCGGGAAATTTGGCAAATCACACATTCAACAACCAAAAATATTTTTGAAAACATATTATGCCCGGAAAACATTATAGTAGTAGCTAGGTAATAATAAAAGGAGCGTATTATAACTTCAACTTATCCACTTTTTTATCGATTATATGCATTGACTGACATGACTGTGTTTGAAGATACCGCTGTATGTGCACATGGATCAAGTTCTACTAGTTTCTATTATGAATGGATTATTTTACACGGCATCACTAATCCAGTTCTGTTTCGTTTCGTTCCGTTCTACAGTATATGTTTTATATGTGAAAAGCATATGTGGAAAGTTACAACAATCAATGGCTGTGGCACATTCTACAACTTTTTTTAAAGTTTTGCACATAATGCCAAATTAGAAAAGTGAGGAAACATTATGGGGACAATTTGTTACCCGATGACGAGGGTGAAGGTTAAATATATTGTTAACCTGGTAGTACTGCGTGCCTAATACAAAATCTAAACGTAAATCTAGGTCACATTTTATAATAAAGTTGAGCAAATATCAGAAAATTGTGAAATCTTCCTTTAAGAAAACACTTATATATCCGAGTGTACAATAACAACCTTTTCTCGTCTTTTATGAATTTTACAACAATTTCGATAATATGTACGTCTATTTGGTTTAAAATAACAAAGGAATTATAGAACAGTACCAAGCAAAATGTTATCATAGAATGTTAGTGAGTTAAAAAAGTGGAGGTAAATTGAGTAAGTTTACACGTGGAGACTACCGTGCTAATACCACTGTAATTGTCGTAAAAAATAAAGTTGACCTTGTTATACAACCCTACGGGTTTTATAAATGTGCAAGCTCCAGACCTTAAGCAGATCTCTGTTATTGTCTTGGCAACAAGTGTCCCCATTAAATGTTGGCCGTTGGCATAAACAGCCATATTAAACACGTTTGTCGATGAAATACAAACACATTGCCCGCTGTATTGTTTTTCTTGATACTAGGTTACATCGGATTACAAACTTGCGCCACCAATCGAGTTGCTAAGAAACAGAGCAAAAGCAAAACGTATCTACTGTGGACACCACTTTGGTTGACCAAATACGAAGGTACAGACAACACTTTAGAGCAGTTCGTCAATTGAATAGTTGCATCTTTGTATTTTTAATTAAAATCAGCTGAAATGAATATATGTTTAGAAACGACACACACCGACTCAAAGAACGTTATTATTATCATAATCATAGTTGTCACTGACTGCTCTGAATGCAAGAAGTCGTACGTCCTATTCTGTCTTCATACACTTGCGCCAACTTGAAGTATGGTCTATTGGCACTGATTTTGACAAAAAACTAATAAAAACAAAAAATAGTAATTTGCAATATTTTAGTTTGAACAAAGTTTTTGCCACCTTCCATGTCAACCAGTTAACGATGTCATAATGGATACTGTAAACATTCGATGTTCAATGACTAATACGTTTCATGACGTGATAGTAACGATTTTCTTGCAATTAAACACACACTGTAAATCTATGTGTCTTAAATATGACACATTTTTGTCCCCACTTTAATATAATTAAACTCATTAAGTGTTTTCTCAAAATCGCAAATGAGTTATTTTACATCACTACTGTTTTAAAATAAAACATTTTTACTGTTTTGTGATAAAACATTTTAAGTGTTTATAAGCTTGTCCCTACTTTAAAAACACTTAAAGTGTTTATAATCTGCATAATTGCGAGAAGTGTATACTATGAAAACACTTTTAGTGGAACATTTCAGGGATTTTTTTGCCCATAACACATTAGAAACTCGTTTTTAAAAGTGTTTTTACCAGAAACATGTATTTAAAGTTCTTATTATCACAACACTTTTAAAGGTGCTTTTACTATACACACATTTTGTAAAGTGTTTTTAATCACGATATGTAGAACAATGTCTCAACCGAAGACATGTTTAAATAAAGTGATTTCACTAGCTACACATTGATAAGAGTTTCCACCAGAAATATGTATTGAAAAAGTGTTTATCATCGCAACACTTTGAACAGTAAAACACAATACTGACAAGTGCTCGTAACGGAGACACATTTTAAAATGTATTTACACTGATAACATGGTAACAAATCATTAACATTATCATTTTTGAAAACAAAATATATCAAATGATGCGTTTCATGATGAGGCACTTTGCACTACTCAGCGGAGTAATCATAACAAAGGATCACACAATCAAGTAACACTGTATTCATAAATATAAATATTAATAAGGTAAGTTCGAGTGTAACATTTAAAAAACAGACATGTATAGTTGTTGTAAATGATATCAATCACGTGAGTAAATGTATTTACTAGTACTGAAATTCAAACCTTTCGTGAAACTGCAGATACAATACCCAATATTTGCGAAAGTTGACACTTCAAAACAAATGAGTAATTAACTGAAACGAACAATAACATCTTTGAACCCTCTCAGTAGTAACCCATATTAACAGGACAAAATTAATTCCCAACATTAGCAGTTTCATCTTGTTCGCTCCGATCGCTTCTCTTAAAATCTGAAAAGTATAATATTATCAAAATGCAGTGAGTAATGTTCAAATAATTATCATTATTGTTTCAAACAATGCAATATACGATGAAAATATTATTGTTGTTATAAACTAACGCGCATGTAATGAGAAGACGAAAATATGACCACAAACGAATTGAACTGAAATTTCCTGTTAAATTCTGCAACATTTCTATGATTTTATTTGGTAACTCAGACCTTGATCTGGTGTGTGTTGGCATGGACGTAATGTGGTATGGAATTATCTGGTCCTGTAAATTCATGAACATGAGTTTAATCACTTATCCCGCACATAAAGAAATGAATGGAGGCCACTGCAAATTTCAATGTAGTACACAAGTGCCGACGCTGGCTTTATCAATTACAATTTCCACACGCTTCGTAACGAAGTAACTATATCATATACCTTCAGGTTTGTTTAGGATAACTTCCGGTTTCTTTCTTTCCTCAGAAAATCAAAAAAAGACTAAGTCTTCATTCGGCTCTAGTTTTTATTGCTTCGTCAAAGATTATGCCACCTGTCTACGCACTCCCGATAGTACAATTCAATCATGAATGAGCGTGCGCACGACACAAGTTACCAGTTACTTGAACAGGCAATATACATTAATGTCAGCCGTCGTTGACCAAAGGTATCTCAAAATATTTGCAAAGAGGTAGCAAACTTATTTATTGTTCAATATTTGTTTTCATATTGTATTTATTGTATTAATTAAATTTCTAAATAACAGTTGAATGGTTATGTAATATTAAGAGGCCTAAACGAGCTCGTTTAAATTAGGCAACTATTTGCACAGGTGTGTGGTAATCACCATAATGGAATTCACCACTGAGGCTCCGCCAATAGAATAAGAACTGCAAAGGAAATGAATGAATGAATGATTGGGTCACAGGGAATAATTGCCTGTTTAGCGCTATGGGGTGAGAATACCGCCAAAATTAGCTTGGTGTCATTATTTGAACATTGTTTAGTTGTTTGGTCTTTATTTGGGAACTTGTTTGCTTATTATTTGGTCATTATTCGGTTATTTGGTCTTTATTTAAACATTATTTTGTGCTTATTCCATTATTGTGTTATTACTGCAGCATCGTATTGCTATTGTT